CTAGCGTTTGCGTTTACAATGGTCTTCGTGTGGACGGGGCCTAAGTTGTGTGTATAACTGCAGTAATCAATCGTGTTCATGCATAGAAGCAGAGTCAGTTTGTAGAGCTCCTGGTTGCTGCGGCAACCAGCTCCAACATCTGCTTGATGTTGTAAGCTGGTTGCCGCAGTTGTAGCTTTTCAAATCCACCAAGGGGGAGGAAGAGGTACCTTGCGGCTTACGGCCCTAAAACGATCTAGAAACTTTAATGACGGGAGGCGACATAATTTCCTGTGGAGACAACATTACTTGCGGACCTTTCTTAATCTAAATTCCCATTTATTTGAGCAAATTACCAGGGTTTGTAGATATGATAGACTTTCCAGTGGGCAATGGGAAATAAGATGGACGGAGTCATAACATTTTGAAACAGTGTACTCGGATCGCATTTTGTAGCGGTTTTTTCAACCTTGAAAGCTTCCTGGCCACTAGTAATTAATTAATCTGATGCCAAACGGTGGCATTTGAAATCCGAGTAGACAAAACAACATCAATAACAACCCTCGGTCGTTTAGGTTTCACCGGCTCAGGGAAATTCTTAAGTCGGAAATGTTGCTTTAATTATTTTGATCAAAAACTAAAGGCCTAGCAAACGAAGAGACGTCTAGAAACTATGTCTCCATAAACAAGTATCTCCAAGACACCTGCGTGGACTGTGAAATCTGCTCATAAAATAAGCTTTTATCATTCTGTATAATTTTTATCCATCTAAAAGTATTATTAGTATGTAAATAAGGCTCCAGCTTTACATTTTAAATTTTACTCCACATGTGTAAATAACTAATAAATTTATCTTTAAACTTCTGTAGGTAAGTAACTAAGTAGTGTCCCCAATTAGTTTTTACACCTGTAAATCTAAATACATTGACACTTGAATAAAAGTTTTCATTCATTCATTCATCCATGTCGCGCGGAAACACGAAATGTAAGAATTCTTCTCGAAAGGCACCCGCAAAGAGGAGGACATGGGGGTTTACGGTATTGCGGTATTGGGCTTTTTTTCAATGATGCGGTATTTCGGTAATTTAAATTTTAACGTGCGGTATTGCGGTATCGTCTGGCCTTGCGGTATGCGGTATTTCATGGCGGTATTCGGTAAAATATGATTGTTTACGGTGTTGCGGTGGAGTTTTTTGCGCTTTCCTTTCGATACAATACGCAAGACAAACACAGTAAGACATAAAGGTCAATAAAAGTTAATATTTAGAAGTCTTTAGACATAATGGTGACTTATTACACCATTTGTGGGTCATTTTATGACAGTTAGCAATGAGATTGTTGTTGCATCCAGTGACAATGGTACTCTACCAGAATTCCTGCACCAGAGAGAGTGTGTGTCGTATTTTAGATAACCCGGTCACCATCACTTCTGCGCAACATGCAGGTGCCAAGGCCTCCGAAACAGTGGATGCCCCAACAGCAGAAGATGATACAGCAGATGAGGAATTGGTGGATAAGTTCAATCCTAGCAGTGATGCGGAAATTGAGGAAACTACTTATGAAAGTGCACCAGTACTTCAAGGAACTCTTCAAGGGGAAATCGGAAGCACAGCAAGTTTTCCCCTTGGTGCTCGATCTCGATTTGGCAGAGTTATTCGATTTAATAATCATTTATTGTACTGAAAGACGGTTGCACTTGTCCGATGCTGCTACGGATGGGCGATGTGCGTGATGACGTGTTTTGACTACCACTACCACTACTAATTTAATTTAATTTAGTTTGATTTAGTCCATTTTCACTGCATTAAATTTTGCAGTGGGTAAGGACTAGAAAGGAACATAGGAACCATTCGTGCTAGTCCACCCTCCAACCCATCCCACCCCAGGGGAGGACATCCATCACACAGTAATCTCGTGTGTGCGAAATTAACGTCTCCTATACCCCAACCCTGCAAGAGACGGGACCTCCATTTATTCGACCCTTTCCGAGAAGACTAGAATATCTAAACATTTCTTGATGTTATAGAAAGGTAGCAAATTTTTCTCAATTATTTTAAGACCGACCGGGGCTCGAACCCTCGACCTCCCGCACAACAGTCCGGCGCTCTATCCATTTAGCTAACCGGGAGACGGTTAACTACTACCAGAATCCTTTACGATTTTCCTGTTTGGTGCAAGTTAGAGTTAGAGCGTTAAATTTGTAAGTTAGCGCGTTAAATTTGTTATATAACGCTTTGGAATTAACAAAAGGGAAAACTAAATGTATTCAAGTAGTAGTAGTAGTTGTAGACGGTTCACAGTCCCCTATTTTTCCGTAAGACCGTCGAGATCGAGCGCTTTGCGTTATTGGCGGCCATCTTGGTTTCATATGTACCGAGGGAGCAGGTGTCGGAGATTTTAGGAGGTAACGCAAAGTCTTCCATCCGGATGGTCTCACGGAAAAAATAGGGAACTGTGAACAGTCTAAACCGGTTGTAGTAATAATGACGCCATCATGCAAATACCCTTTAGAAAACAGTTTTAAGGTAAGAGAATTGTTATTCGCTATTAGGACTGTATTGATAATAATAATAATCAACTTTATTTAAAGAGGGTAAAACACATAACAGTATAAAACTGACAAACCAGTGGCCCTCTTAAAATATATTACAAATAATTATTAAAAAAGATTAAAAACTAATTAATTATGGAAAAAGATCAAGAGCTAAAAATCTAAAATTACAAAGTTTCTAAAAACTATAAGATAAAATGTTCTAATCGTTTATAACTATTCTTAAAAAAATCTAACATGGCCTTCTTAAAACATTTGATAGTAAGTTTCATTCTTATGTCCAGTGGTAAGGTATTCCAGAGGCGTGAGGTCGATACTGTGAAAGACCTACCTCCCTCTGACTCCCGTTTGAATCGGGGACAGACAAGGTTTAGTTGTCCATATCTGCTTGATCTTTTATTTATGTCTGCATTTCTTACGAGCATTTGGGACATATAAGGTGGACAGTCCCCAGACAATCGTTTGTAAACCATTAGTGACCTATTTACTTTTGCCTCATGAAAGAATGGAACCCAATCCAATTTCCTAAACAGTTGTACGCTATTCGCTTTAGTGTCAGCTCCGAGAATTACACGTGCCGCGCGTTTCTGAAGTTTAAAGACTTTCTGCAAATTCTCAGTAAAACAAGATGTCCATATGGTTGATGCATAAAGCATTGTCTGCTTGATCATAGCATTATAATAAAGTTTCCTTTGATCAATGGGCAAAAAGCGTCTTATTTTTCGCTGCACGGCAATTCTCTGCGATAACTTCATGCATAGATTTTCGACATGTTGGTCGAAAGTAAGCTGGCTGTCAATCGTGACACCTAATAGTTTATGCGAGTTCAATTGTTCAAGTTCAGTAAAATTAACGTTTAACTGCAGGGTGGACTGTTCCATTTTCTTGGCTAACCGTTTACCAGTGACAAGCATAGATTTGGTTTTGGTTTCATTAAGGATCATTCTGTTGTCAGCTGACCAATTCAAGATTTCATCAATATCCGTCTGAAGGCCGACCGAGATATCAACAGGAGCCGTCGTATAATGGGTGGAGTAGCTAATAGTTGTGTCGTCAGCATAAATATCAGCCACGGAGTGCTGAAGTGTTGCATTAGAGGTCTTAAGTGTTGTATTAGAGGTCACACCTCTCTTCATGTTTTCCGTTTTGTATACTCCTACCAAAAGGTTGACCGAATAAAGTTTACTTTCCAGTGAAAATTTGCGAACTACCAAAATATTAAAAAAAAAAAAAAAACATATGTGCATAAATGCCGGAGATAATTAAACGCGCTAGATGGAAGCAACTATAAGTATGCGGAACCGATTATAAATGTAATTTAAATATGCGGTATCGGTATTAAGTCGATTTGCGACGCGGTATTTCGGTATTTGCCACTTTTTCGCACGGTATTGCGATATTAGGTACCCCACAATGTCCTCCTCCGCAAAGGTAGAAAATAATTTAAAGAAATATTACTATTACCAGTACTATTTGATCTTCAGAGCTACTGCTGGAGCTTGTCAGATCTATACAGCTGTAACTGGTTAGATTCTAGAAGCCTCCAACTAAATAAAACTTCATTGCGTTGAATCTTTTCCAGTGAGTCAACGGGAAACCAGTTTGCCGATCATCGAAATCGAAGCCCGAAATGCTCGTTAGACCGAATGTCACGTTATTTACATCTCATAAGAACTATATATTTAAACCAAAAAAAAACAAAACATACCTTCCGTTTTAGCGTCGGGTTAGAAAGAGATGGAAAACTTTAGATCGAGGGGATCGCGGGCTTTGGATCTAGTACATCTCCTGGACTCAAGGTGCTCCGACTCACTCATGTGAAGCTACGTGACTTAGTTTGGCATCTAGCAGGGCACAATTAGCTGTAAGATGGTGGGACTAGTTGAACCGCCCTAGCTTTGCACCTATTGTTACGGTGGCTCGTAAGTATATTGTTCTGTTTTGGAGGTGTCTGCTCGATTATTAGCTATTACTTGGCGCAAAACAACGTATCCTATCAATAGGAGAGAAATTCCGGAATTTTACGAAGCACTCGAAGTGCTCACTCCTCGCCATCTGTAGTCTTCTAAAGTGCTCGCTGCTCGCCATCTGTATTTTCTAAAAAGCTCGCTGCTCGCAAGAAAAATTTGACAACTCGTGCTCGCAAAAATAAACACACTGCTCGCATGCTCGTAAAGACCACTCTATACCCCTTCTATGGTCATCTCTAAACAATTCTAAGCTGGAATGTTTTTTCACCTCTAACGGCTGAATTCCAGGGGCAAAAGGGGATCGAAGGGAACGTTTTGAAGTTGGTCATAAGAAAAATCAAATACGCTCTGTTATTAATGACTACATACGATCAAAAAGGTGGGTAGAGTTTTAATATTTTTGTGAGAACTAACGTCAGACATTGGTTCTTTTCCAGTCCTCTCAGGCCGTACCAGGAGCGTGCTTGTTGGTGCTTCACCGCATACTTAAGCCCCTGTACTGAAGGCTCTCGTGAAAAAATTGACAAACAGTCAACTGCACGTGCTCAGAGTTATGGAGAGCAAACCGAAAGTAGCTAAAGTGGAGGTAGTATTCTCTCGCAGCGTAAACTAGTAATAAATGCAAACTGTCTGATGCTTGATGTTATCTTTAGGAGCCCTCTAATGGAATGGAAGTCGATACAGGTGCATCTAATCATGTTGATGATCGCAAGGAACAAAGTCTGAAAGAAGCTCCATCGACAGCGTCTGGTTCGAGGCCTCCTGCCTCTGAAATGACGAGTGCCGATTATTATTTTGATTCTTACGCACATTTTGGTGAGTAGTGTTTGCTTTGATCTTCTCTATCGTAGCTAGGGATGCTTTGCTAATGGTTACTCTTTTTGGTCATCACATGTATGATCGGATCGACTTGTGCCTCATCAGGAATCCATGAGGTTAGTTGGTGCATATTTCCTATCGTTCCCCATGGCCAGTCTTACGATTTATTTTCCGCCTAGACTTAGAATGTTACGATACGATGGCTTGAGTACTACGTAATAATAAATTTTTCACTTGATGTAAGTTTAAACCCCAGCATGAACTGTAGCATACACTTAGAGTTATATGTTGAACTGCGATTACCTGATCTGAAGGTCCGTCATGAGTTTTGTTAAATTTAACGCACATCTGGGCTGGAATCGCCCTGTTTTCCAGCATTCTTGGATCAAAAATTGACAGTTAAACGTAGTAGACCATCACGTTTGATTTTGTGCATGATACGATGAGGAATTCTTAAGGATGGTTGACCTCTCAAACACAACTCGAAAACCGATTGAGTTCTATGTCAACTTACATCTGAGGTTGACGTTAGAGTTATTTTTTTAGCTTTTTATCGGTAACATGGTTTGTCATCCAGTTAGGGAAACTCTTCTTGACCTAGAATTGTGTTGCAAGAGAGGATCAGACATGCTTGTCGACTAACGCTATGCTAAAGCCTCGAGTTTACTCTAGTACGGTAGCAATTTTCAACTAAAAAGTTGTATGATATAGAGCCGCCTTGAAATTGTGAACATTTCATGGTGAATTCTTATGATGCTTACTTTTTAGTTCCTGTAATAAAGCTCTTCAAGGTAAGCACTTTCTAGAGTAAATATTCCCTGAAGTATTTTAGGTAGCTTATTTGATAAAATGGAATTGAATGCTGATTCATAGGTCGTGATGTCCCAAAATTACAAGGATTCTTTCTATTTAGTGCTCTGCTTTTAGGCTTGGCTAAATATATAAGTGTTTAAGTGTTATCTATTTGTACATTGTTCTCTGTTGCCCCCTCACAATAGGAAATGATCAAGGATGAAGTGCGTACAACAACATATCGTAATGCAATGTACTATAACAAGCACTTGTTTCGAGACAAAGTAGTTCTTGATGTGGGCTGTGGCACTGGAATTTTGTCCATGTTTGCTGCGAAGGCTGGTGCAAAACATGTGTATGCTGTAAGTGATTTCTGTTATACATAAGAATCAGTAGCTTTTACAGTAGCTTCAGCTTTGCTTAATAACTGATGTAATTTTCGAAAGTCATAATTTTGGCTATTACCTGTATCAAAACTGTTTTTGTTTAACTTCTAACTATGCCAAAGTAATCAGCCAGGAGAGTACCTTATGCATTCCTTAGTGGTAAGGAGTTCATAGTGCGCCTCCTAACCTAAAAGCTACCTTTGGCATTTCTTTACGCTTCCTAGATAACTTTCCTGTACCATCTTTTTCAGAGAAAAAGTTTTCAGATTTAAATTCTGTAGTTTTCAAAACTAAAGAATTTTAGAGCCAGTGAAAGGCTAGAGCATGACAAATTCCCTTGCCCAGGATTTAGGTTTGGGAAAGAGGGAGGTGGGGAGCAATAAAATGCATTTAGAAATAAACTTACTGTAACTTGGAGTCTAGGATAGAAGCCCTAAGTTGGTACCAGATGCTAACTTGCCCTTTTAGAATGCATTTATTTTCTAACATCTAAAAGACTATTGTTTAAGTAAAGGCTGATAGTTTCTAAAGAAACTGTTTGGGGCTTCATCGGTGGGGGTAACGAAATCATTTGAATTTATCAACTAAGTTGAAATGGTAAATTGGCCACCATTACGATTATAAAAGCTGATGTTTTGAGCGTTAGCCCTTCGTTGGATTGAATAGTGGAGTTGTGGGTTGTGTGTGCTTTTTAAGGCAGAAAAAGGAGCTACGTGATTGGTGGGAACATGGGAACGAGAAAAACACGAATAGATAAGTGGAATGAAAAGCGTTTTTTGATACCTGTGGGATTTTGACTGCCGGTTTGAAAGATGAGCTTTTGTTCAAGAGTTTTCCAGCTTTCCGTGCTACCTAACTGTAAGGAAAGACCGCAGATTGCTATGTGTTGCTTAGAATGGTTAGATAAATTAAAATGTCTAGCGACTGGTTTCGATGTGTCCTTGTCATTCCTCTCCACACCGCGAAGATGTTCCTGGAATCGGTCACCCAGTCTTCTTCCTGTTTCGCCGATGTAAATCTTTTTGCAATAAGTGCAAGTTATGCAATAGATTGAATTGGCGGAGGTGCACATGAAGTGATCAGTGATCTTAATGGATCGTAATGTTTAAGTAGCCTATTTGCAAAATTTGATGATTGGAAAACATGCTGTTTTTGAAGTACTTGCAATAGAAGTTTTGTTTTTAAGGATGGATCTAGTGGAAAAATAGAGATACGACCCTGGTCTAATGGTGTCTTTTGTTCACACAGATTTCCTTTAGATAATATTTCTGACATATCCATTTCACAATAGGTAACCATTTGGTAATGAAATATGGAGTGCTTTTTTTACCATGGATGGAACTTGGGAAAGAGCTCTGCAGTAGCTGTCCAAGCAACAGAAACAAATATGTTTTTGTTTGCATTTTTACTCTAAAAATTTAGGATGATATTTTCTAATTTTCAAAGCATGTCACAACCATAAGCAAGCAAACAACCACATATTCTGAGTTTTAAGGAAATTGGTTACCTCTGACTGTTATTTCTGAAACAGATGTTTCGGCTAATGCTTAAGACTTCATCAGTGATGTGAAAAATGAAGGTCATTATCATATGCTATTTATTGTTAAAATCTTGACGAGAAGCTTGTGTGTGTAACTATCTATTTGATGCTCAAGCGAGGTCTCTATAGGCTTCTGGAAGTACCATGTGATCATTCCCAACATTCAGATCCAAAGTAGAGTTCCTTTACTCGCCGTTGTGCGAGATAACAATTATCCAATGACTTCTATACAGAACTGTGAGAGAGTGTTATTAAAACAACCCGCCCAGACCAACTTCAATGGCTTTATAGTGCTGCCGTATGTACAGGGTGTTTCCGAGAAAATAAGTCACATATTGAAACAACAAAAGGTCAAAGTAGCCTCTAAACCACAACAAACAATCAACAGCCTTTTTCCACACCCCAAGGAGCAAGACGAACCTGAACACCAGAAGTCATGCATGGTGTACAAAATGAATTGCACACAGTGTAATTTTAAGTACTATGGCCAAACAGAAAGGTCATTAAAGACCAGAATTGCAGAGCACAAAAAGGCAGTTGCAGGTTTTGACTTAAACTCCAAAGTCACAAGCCATGTCCACCTTTTCGACCATAACATGGACTTTACAAACATAAGGGTCATTGGTTTCGAATCTAATTACCACGAGAGACTTTTCCTTGAAGCCTGGCACTCTACTTTGGATCCGAATGCTGGGAACGATCGCATCGTACTTCCAGAAATCTATAAAGACCTCGCACAAACATCAAATACACAGTTACACGCGCAAGCTTCGAGTCATGTTTTTAACTTTAATTAGCTTATGATAACGATCTTCATTATTCATATCACTGATGAAGGCTTAAGCATTAGCCGAAACGTCTGTTTCAGAAAGGACAACAGTCAGAGGCAACCAATTTCCATAAAACTCATGACATCTCCTGACTACACTTTTTCATTATTTAACCACATATTCTATTTTGTCCCACCATGTTTAATAGATTGATAGTTGTGTGCAGGAGAACACGACCTTGTGTTACATGTATGGTATTTTTAAAATGAGTGACAGGGATCAATTGTCAAGTACTTTTACTTAGTTCCAGTTTTTTGCCTTGTGTAGATCGAGTATTCACCATGGAGGTTTTGTCCTTAGTCAAAATAAAGTAAAACGTTGAGTTTAATGCGGATTTATTGAGTCGTTCTCAAAAAGTTGTGACTTTCAAATGCCTCCACTACGTCATATTTTTGCCGTTCCTGGTGACACACTTTCCTTCATTTCACTTCCCAACCAAGCAACGTCAATTTCTTTAAGTAAGAGGTTGCACTCACTGCAACCTCTACTTTTGTGTTGTTTTTTCTTCTCTTGCTAATGCACAGCACGAGTGCCAAAGTTGTCTCAGCACTGTTCCAGATTATCATGTATCATATTGTTGTGAAAATTGGTTACTGTCACTGCAAGTCACTGCAACAAATCTGTCACGAGATATTTTCTTTGTAAAATTGGTGAAAATGCACCAAATTAGCCTCCAGTACCACCTTAAACTATTTGACAGCCCATTATGCAATTCCTCAACCTATGGTAAATTCTAGGGAATAAAATTGGGAGTGGTGTCATCATAGGAAGAGCATCCAGCAAGTCTTTTTCTCAAAATAGTCACTATAAAAGTTCAGGTCCATTCAAATTCGAGGAAGACCTTCATTCCTTCCTTCCTTCCATTCACTTTAAATAAGGGCAGCTTATATTTGGGGAAGGTGTTAATTTCAGTGTCATATTTCCTAAATCATTATCATCCATTACAATATAGCTTTTTTCATAGGGTTCCTTAAGTGAATATGGAAAATGCATAATAGGCAATTGGAGTAGTAAAACTTCTTATCAAATGCCTTGCTTGTTGGTTCTTGTTCACCACTGTTCTTATTTATTGATTCAGTTTGCATGTACATACAGTCAATTTGTATTTTTTTTTTCCATTATAACAGGTTGACTTCTCTTCAATCATTGATTACAGCAAACAGATAATCAAGGACAATAATTTTGAAGGAGGTATGACTAGGATACAAATACGACATTAACCAGATATTGATTTTTATGAATATCCTCTGTTTTGCTTCAGAGTGCATAGCATGCATGTGCTTCATTGCCCTAGCCTTTTATTGAAACTTTGTACAGTACTTTGAATTGAAATTATAATTTCCAACATGAACATTTTTGATTTGTTATTGAATATGTTTGTTTGGTCTATAATTTGAATACCCTCCAGTATTTGTTGTTTTTATTTTGAAGTTGTTGTTGTTGTTGTTGTTGAATCATACTTGACTTTCACTCATTTTGATTGAATTTTTTTAGTGATCACCCTCATCAAAGGTAAAATAGAGGAAATTGAGCTGCCTGTTGGACAGGTTGATATTATCATCAGCGAGTGGATGGGTTACTGTCTTTTATATGAGTCCATGTTGGATACAGTGTTGTTTGCTCGTGATAAATGGCTGGTAATTACACACCTTGTAATATATAGACATAAAAGACCTTCATTTGTTAGTTTTAGCAAATTATACATTAAGTATGAAAAATAATTTTCTGGACATGAGGTATTATTAATAATATTTATTATATGACTGTGTCTCACAAGGACTGGGAACTACCGAATTCACGAATTTGATTGGCTGAAATCAATGTTGAAAGCGGTCTAGATTTTCCCATCTAGACCGGCATCTAGACCGGTCTAGAAAAAAAAGGTACACAGAATATAAAAAATTAGCATATAAGACACAGCCATATAATAAAGATCTTATTAACCGAGCTAGGTCGGTCTGTATGGGAGAATCTTGACCTTGGTCAAGATTCTCCCATACAGACCTCCTGCTCGGTTAATAAGAACTAAGTAATTTTTCCTACAAGTTTGAAAACAGTTTGTGGCTGGTTAAATAAATGATTCTCAAATAACTGATTTAGCTGAAGCATATACTTTAATTTTCATTTTTTTTTTAATTTATTTCCTGTAGAAACCAGGAGGACTTTTGTTCCCAGACAAGGCACAACTGTATCTCTGTGCTATTGAGGACAGGCAGTACAAAGAGGACAAAATTTACTGTGAGTGACTATTGAATTGCTGATCATTTTGGAACACAATGATTAACCCTTTGTCTTCCACAAGTTACTGGCATCTAATTTCTCTTCACCAAATTACTCCTGAATCACATTAAGGTGGCAAAAATAAAGGAAATGTTCTTAAGAAGCTCTTGATTGCTAAACAAATTCTCCTTGTCAGCTCCTTTGGAAATGTATGGAGAGCGGTATGGAGAATATGCACAGGTCAAAGAAAAGAAGACAAATGTACAGGCCAGCTGCAACCTTAAAAACCGAAAGATAAGCAGAAAAGCCAATAGTTAGATGCTGTTAGGAAAGCTAAGATCTGCAATAAGATTGCTTGGACTAGCCTGTGAAGCACTTATGTGAACAGTTTCAGTCGAGCGAGTCACAAAAGCTTGCCTAGGCAAAGATGGGCACATGCAGATAGATCATTAGTAGATGTTCAAATTACCTTGGAAATCTGAAAATCAACAGCACTTCGTGTTGTTACACAAGTTATGTCTTCCTATTTCTTTTGCAGGGTGGGACAATGTTTATGGCTTTGATATGAGCTGTATCAGAAAAGTTGCCTTGACTGAGCCTCTAGTGGATGTGGTGGAGGCTAAGCAAGTAGTTTCTAATTCCTGTCTTGTAAAGGTAAATTCAAACAAAAGTTGGTTTAATGAAGACATGATTTTTAAAAGTATATTTAAACCATTTTTCTCCTTGTACATTGCTATAGGAAATTGATTTGCATACCGTGAAGAAAGAAGATTTGTCATTCAGTGCACCTTTCCAGCTATATTGTAGGCGGAATGATTATGTCCATGCACTTGTTGCTTTCTTTACCATTGAATTCACACATTGTCACAAGAGGACTGGGTTCTCAACTGGTGAGTCTGTATTTTCTGTTGAAAGTTAAAATATGCATAAAACAATCACAAATAGAAAAAGAATATATCTTTTTTGTAGCTCATCAACATCTCTTGCTTGACAGGTTTAGTTAAGAGAAAACATGTATCAAATGGTTTAGGAATAACTGCTTTCACAACTGAAAAACAACAATTTTCCGAAGTATCACGAAGAACCAATCTGAACCTAAAGGAAACTACTGCTTAAAGTTTTTTCTAGTCAGCGGTTTTTTTAAAGGTGGCATTGTGCAGTTTGTCAGGACAGTTTTTATGATTCTATTGTTTTCCTTATTTAGCTCCAGACTGTCACTATACTCATTGGAAGCAGACTGTCTTCTATCTCCAAGATTATCTTACGGTCAAGTATGGTGAAGAGTTGTATGGAGATTTTAAAATGCAGCCAAACCCCAGAAATAATGTAAGTTCTTGATCTGAAGAGTCATCTGGAATATTTTTGTCACTCTGTTACGCGTGCGTTCTTTGTCCGTCGGCAATTAGCCATAGCATGCAATTATTGCACCAGTCCGTGTCAGTTTTTCATAGGTTTTATTACAAAGGGTATAGGGCATTCATGTATGTTATTTATTGTAAGCTCTGGTTTTTTTTGGTATCAACGTTTATGTAGAATTTGAAGAACCACTCTCAAAAAACGTGGTTTTTTCTGTGGTAGATGCCTTCTCGCAACTCTCATTTTCCATTTGGAAATGGTTAGTGAAAGTCCTTTTTGTCTAAATCCACTCTCATTTTGTGATGAGTTCAATCTAAAGTGAGCCAGTCCAAAACCTCCGACAAAATAGATGACTTATGGTGGCCACTTAGGTGCTAGATGCTCTGAATAATAGGCGCTTGTTATCATGTTGAGTAAACTGTTCTTTCCATAATACATTACCTTTAGCCGTAGAGGCTTGGATTGCTCTCTGGAAAATCGCCATTATTTCTGGGCACAGGTATCTTAACCAAATGAGCCTATTTATTGCCAAAAGCAGAAAGTTTATCTATCACATTCAACAGTCCCAACAATATCCGATATGGAAACAAAGCTGTAGTTGATTTCTCCCTTTATTCTCATTTAGTTTCTGCATGTCAGTTTATAAAACTTGCCGAGCAGGCGTAAATTTGCCGTCGAGTGCAACTTATAGCTGCCATCTTTGATTTTTACAGCGGTCGAAAGCAGTGAAGAGAGCGAAATTTGTACCAAGGGATGAGCGACGGTAAAAAAGAAGGAGAGGGGGGGGTGAGGCAATGAATATTGCGCCCATCCCCGCCCCTTCCCCCAGCCGTCCACTTTAACTCGAAATCAAACATGGCCGGTCGAATAAACGATCGCGAGCTTCTTTAACTAGCCTTTATGAGACGCATGCATTGCAGGCTAATTAAACCGTCTATTTCTACTGTCCCTACACAATTTCATTACTCAACAACTTAACGAGTTGACCTTTTTTTTTTCTCTCAGCGTGATTTGGATTTCACAATCAGTGTAAATTTCAACGGAGAGCTCTGTAATTATCAAGCTTCAGACAACTACAGGATGCGATAGTACCAGAGTCAAAGCCTCTACGTGTACAGAAACAAGACGATATTCTTAATATAAAGGATGCTGCTGGCTAGCATGTCGTTTGTAGAGCATATTTCTGACGATATTATTACCAGATTACAGTATCACGTTTACGAAGGAAACTTCAGCATCTTCTAGATGTAGAGTTGCCAGGTATAGCCTGGTAAGAATTCTCTTTGTCTTCATTCAAGAACTAGAGTTAGGGCTACTTTCAACATAGCTGGCAAACTATTGACAAACTTGATAGTGACATAACGAACACACTGGCTATAATGGTGATAACCTTATGGTAATGAGGGAAGGAAGCGAGATTAAAGAACTAGTTAAACTAGATCGATCATATTGTTATCTGGAAACTGGCAGGGGAACATAGACAAATATCCAACGTAATGCGTAAATCATTGGACGACAAAATTTCGAAATTGACATGTAATATGCTATTTCGAAACATGAATGATGATTTATTCTTATCTCAGACATGCTGTGCGTCATTATTCAAATATCCTTTGTTAGATAATCTCATGTACAGGTGTTGTTTGGTGCCATCAGGCAAAGTGTTGTTTACCTCTCGCTGTTTGAGACTCTTGTATTTGTTCAGTTTTCAGATAAGAGCACTTCAAATACTAGACATTGCTTTGTTGTTACCTCCGTCCCATTTAGTTTTGTCTTGCTTAGTTTAGCTTGCCGTGTGAAGAAAGGCAGTTCACATTTTTTTTCCACCAGCTTGTTTAAATTTTTCTTACCTAACCTACTTTAACTAACACTTAGCCTGGGTAAACCAACTCCTCTTGAGCGTTAATTATAAAATAGTTTAAATTATTGCGAAAATGTGAGCCAAAAAAATGTAGTACCCAACAATTCCTAATATAAAATAATAAACGGAGATTTTGACCACATTACTGTTTAAGCTGAACTGTATCCGTAAGATATAAGTAATAGAACTTACTTGTGTTACTAACCAAGCACGAGGTCAAGATTACTGGATATTGGCCAAGTTTTTTTAAATTTTTTTTATTTCGATTTTTGTGCTTTTATAGACGGAAAGGACCTCGAAGCCCATTCAAACTTACGGGACGAATAATTAGTGATCTTGACAGAATAAGCTTCGTCAATGAAGGAATTTATTATGTGGCGGAAATATTAGACGAAAGTATTGCAAAATAAATAAATGCAACACGTCGTGGGTTTCTTTGTTTTGACTTAAAGAAGCAAAAGTTCCCGAGGAAGCTGTGCAAGATGGTCATAAGCAAGCTCGCCGAAATTGAGCTTGAGTTTCTTCATGCGTGGTAATTTCCAAGACGAAGGGCAAACGCTCCAAACGTCAGCTTTTGTAATCGTTACGGTGGCCAATTTACCATTTCAACTTTGTTGATATATCCAAAAAATTCCCATGACAGTCTCAGTTGTATCAAACTGTCAATCATATCATTATCTCATGGGTCGTTCGTGATCGATGGACATAGTAAAGTTACATCACTATGGTCCATTTCGTCTCAAAATTACTCTTGAGGCGGTTGGGAGGATCTGAACGACCACATGAACCTTAGACTGAGATCTTTGATTTCGTTCTCTTTTTAAATCAAAATCAATCAATCCTTTTTATGCCTCGTGGCACATAGGGCCTTCACAGAGCTTTTCCACTCCTCTCGATTGGTTGCTGCTGTCCGCACCTCCTCGCACGACCACCAACGTGCCTCTTGCCTTTCTTTCTCTACTGTACGTCTCCAAGTGGTTTTTTGGTCTTCCCTTTCTCCTTTTACCTTCTGGGGCCCAGCCCATAGCAACACTGCAATTATTATTACGATCTATCCTAAGAATATGACCAATCATTTTCCATCTACGAGACATCACTTCCGCACTCAGTGGCTTCATGCCTGCCCTTTCCAGTAGCTCTTTGGCGCTGACATTGTCTTGCCATTGGATTCGGAGGATCCTTCGTAAGCACCTATTATGGAATACATTCACTGCTTTATCATCTCCGTTAGTCATCTTCCATGTCTCAGATCCATAGAGTAACACTGGCACTACTAGAGTTTTATACAGCCTCACTTTTGTTTTCCTCAAGATGTTCTTAGAGATCCAGATCTTCTTTAGTTTGTTAAAGGCACCTCTGGCCTTTGATAACCTGTTTTTCAAGTCCTTCATGCCACCACCCTCTCTACAAACTTCGGCCCTCAAGTACACGAACTGATCGACCTCATCTCTTTTTAAGTAAATATAATTTCTATCTCTGCCAGAGGTTTTTTCTTGTACAAAGTGACAAAAAAACCTACTCAGTCCTAACCACACGTTACTAGCTAACCCGGAGTTCTTGTTGTGTCACGTAATTCCCTTCGACTTGTTATATGTTTAAAGACATCTATCTATTTCTATGACTGGTAAGTTTTGCTCTTTCTGTAGACTGGTTAACCCGAGGATATTGTAATGTTACGTTATCTCCTTTACCTGGTGATATTTTTTTACCTCTATCTATTTTCATTATCGGTAAATTTTGCTTGATCGTAACCTATATGCTAAATTTTTATCTATCTTGAGCAGCATCTGTAAAAAATCCGTCATGTTTGAACGACTTCGGCTGGTGTCTCTTGATTTCCGTGTACTTTCTCTTTAAAGAATCACTGTCGTGTCACGCGATAGTTGCTTTGTTTATTTTTGTGTGTTTTTAGTGCATGGCATTTAAGCCTATCATCGGAAAGAAATGAAGCTGGCAGTTAACCCTGAACTCCATTGATTACTTGCATTACATCATGTTCAGTCTTAGGGTTAGCTATCGTTCATCACAAAAGCAAGGTATTTGGACTTGGCCATAAACGTACAATTTGTGGCAATTTTTGTTTTGACCGAAGCAAAATATCAAAATTGTCGATTGTAGTAAATATGTCAGAAACTTTTTTAACCACTATTGAGCGCAAGCAGGGATTGAGACCTAAACTGATGACTGATTTCATTCAATATCACCGCTATCGTGACTAATGCATTTTTTTTTTCAACACAAAAATGAAGGTCAAGGTGAAAAAAGAAAGCAAGGAAGATTCTTTCATTTTCTTGTAATCAATAAGGCTTCTGAAAGAAACCATTGATCTGAGGCCTACATTTTGATTCAATCATAGAAATTTGAGAAAGTTTAACGCCAATCTCTCGAGATCGTGGTAGCCTAAAGTCTAAAATTGAGACGCATAAAAAATGTTACCATCAAAACTCTGTTCTTCTGAAAGAGATCCACTTGATTGTTAAGTAAATTCACAATTTGTGACCCGGCCAAGGTCATTTTTTCTCTTAGGTCTAAGATAGTGATGGTTGCCGGTCAAGGTGACGGATTTGGAGGACATCACATGACAGACAACGAGTTGAACAGCTGATACAAGGATTGTGATTCGATCCATCACAGAATAGCGTGAAATCTACCGACGAACTTTGGAACATCATGTGTTGATTACGGACTAACTCGACAGCGCCTTTTGTGCCACCCTTTTGTTCTTAGCATACTTTGACGTCATTCGTGATCTATAACTGGACGGACGCAGGGCAACATGGAATCTATGTCAATCTTCTCAAAAAGTAACCTTCAAGTTTTAATCCATGATCCACGAGATAATGTATTATCAAGAGCGAGGTTCAGGGACTGAATTTTGCACAGACAGAAATTTTCCTTGTCGTGAGATACATGAGATGCTTCCTCTTGCGGTTCACTTGAGTGAATTTCCCGGAAAAATTATTTACCTTGCGGCGATCTTATGACTTGCTCAAATGACATTAAAATAGAGTTAAAGTTATCCATGAAGTTCAAAGTTATTCATGAAGTTCGCGTTGATTACGGACTAACTGACTGCGCCTTTTGTGCCACCCTTTTGTTCTTAGCATACTTTGACGTCATTCGTGATCTATAACTGGACGGACGCACGGCAACATGGAATCTATGTCAATCTTCTCAAAAAGTAACCTTTTAATCTACGATCCACGAGAAAATGTATTATCAAGAGCGAGGTTCAGGGACTGAATTTTGCACAGACAGAAATTTTCCTTGTCGTGAGATACATGAGATGCTTCCTCTTGCGGTTCACTTGAGTGAATTTCCCGGAAAAATTATTTACCTTGCGGTGATCTTATGAATTGCTCAAATGACATTAAAATAGAGTTAAAGTTATCCATGAAGTTCAAATCACATGGTAAAATCATCAGTTTAGGATATAAACCACAACGCCAAAGAAATCCCAAGACTTTCGCCTGATACTTGCGAAAAGAAATCGGGACTCGGCAACAGTTTCGCGAAATAAATCGGGACAGCTGCAGCTCATAAAACTGGTAAGAGTAATTTACCTTGCTAATGTGAGTAATTTACCTTGCTGATGTGAGTAATTTACCTTGCTAATGTGAGTAATTTACCTTGCTGATGTGAGTAATTTACCTTGCGAGACACGAACCACGGCTCGGGGAACATCTCATGATTCAAAAACATCGTTGAACCGTAGGAGATAAAGTTATAAAAAGAAACATTTTTTAGCTTTTTTTTCTTTTATGAAAAGAAACACTTTTTAGCTTTTTTTAACAAAAACCTTTTACCTTACGAGACGCGAATCATGGCTAGGGGGACATTTCATGATGATTCACAAAACATCTTTGAACCGTAAGAGGTAAAGTTATAGAAAGAAATATTTTCAAAGTTATCCTTGGTGATTCAGACGTGTACCGCTAGTTTCAAATTTCAGATCGGGGAACACAGTGACAATCAATTTCCATGGCATCTTGGCGCGAAACCTTTTCCCGAAAAAAATTCTGCGATCCGAAGACCATGATGGCAACTCCATTGAAACGTTGTCTCGGCATCTTTGACTTAACTCTTCTTGGAGTCGGAATTACCATAGGAGCAGGGTTGTACGTTTTAACCGCTGATGTCGCCCGTAATATCGCTGGCCCTGGTGTGGTAGTTTCGTACTTCATCGCCGCTGCTGCCTCAATTCTGGCTGGCTTCTGCTACGCAGAGTTTGGCTGCCGTGTGCCTAAAGCAGGCTCGTGTTACACTTACAGCTACTCAATCATTGGTGAACTCTGCGCTTTTATCATAGGCTGGGATTTGATGTTGGAATATAGTATCGGACTGTCCTCAGTAGCCAAGGGGACCAGTTCATATTTGGATTCAATGTTTGACGACCGCATCAAGAATTTTACAATCTCTGTAGTTGGTGAAATTCATGTCAGGGGTATTGCACAATACCCCGACTTACTTTCGGCTGTCTTAATATTAGGAATGGCGCTAATTTTACTCAGCGGTATGAAGGGAACATCAAGGTTCAATTCACTGATCACAGTGTTAAGTATATTCCCGATCATCATCATTGTTTGTGCTGGTTTGTATTATGCCGATATTAAGAACTGGACGGAAAATTTTGCCCCGTACGGAGTTCCGGGGATTTTGTCCGGTGCAGCCACGTTATTCTATGCTTTCGTCGGATTTGACATCATTGCTACTACTGCAGAGGAAGCAAGAAATCCTGGAAGAGCAATCCCTATCTCCATTGTCTTAACATTAGGTGAGCAGCAGTAACTGACTTTCACAGTTTCTTTCTAATGTGTTAACTAATCCGTTGACACCCTTCTATCAACTGGCAATTGTCTAACAATCAAGAGCTTCTTGAGTTCGCGATAAATATATCTTATTAGACGTTTTGTCGTGTAGTATCGCCGAGTATTTTTACGAGTTGTGCCGTATTTTGACGAGTCCGTAGGGCGAGTCAAAATACAAATTTGCGAATTTCGCGGATATTTCTGGAGTACAAATATTGCGTGATATTTGTACGTGTCTCGCGTGTTATTTGTGCTCTACGAAGCATAGTTGGATAATAATTTCCTTTACTCTTATGACCTTAATGTTTGATTTATGGATATTACTTTTGGGAGAAATTACATACTTTACACTCCTAAGGGTTAAAGGGCAAAGCCACACTAAACAAATATCAGAAAAACAGTTTGGCGAGAGAACATACGCTGGCGTGAAAGACCTTTTCACAAATCGTTCAGTGCAAGCACTCGCACAAAAAGGTTCATAATGTCAGTTGCTTAGACATTCAAATGCCGTACAAATAATTTTGTTCAAATCTTATTATTTGCGCATCACTCTGTCCTACTTTTTACAATTGTATCATGAGCAAGTGAATACGATCGCGTGATAGTTGTTGAGGGCGAAGTCCGAAGTAACTGTCACGCATAGAAATCGAGAGAGGATCAGAGAGCACAAGCTCATTGTTCTTGTGTAAACTTACTTGTCAATAGAATCGATTGGCCCCAAAGATCGACCATTTTGGCTAATCACCCGTATTTTCCACAAAGGTGGCTTCTGTGACACTTCTTCAAAACTCATATTGAACTTTTATTTTTGAAGAAATCGTGGAAGGGTAAAAACGAGATCTAACCGCGGTTTTTTTTTCCAAAATGAGCAACGAAAACGGAGCACGTCAAAAATAATTCAGTGGGCGTCAAACTTTGCACAAAGTTGAAACCAGACATTCTGTTACGGAATTGCTGAACATCGAGCGTTTTTGACCTTTTTGGTAAAATAGAATTTTGCCCTTTATATCATGAACGAGTAATCGCATGTTTCCTCGTAAAATTAAGGATTAATATCACTTGTGTTTTAGACCTCTGTATAAACTGCGTAACTCGGGTGATCTCTGCAATTTCTGAAAATATGGTAGTATTAGTCCTTGATTTTTACCACGAGGAAACATACGATTACCTATCCTTATTTTTACTAATAGTTATAAATAGTTCACCTAACGTTTATCCTCTACAGTCATCGTTTTTGTGGCGTATTTTGGAGCGTCTGCTGCACTGACACTAGCGTGGCCCTACGCGACTCTTCCTGAAGGGGCAGCATTTTCTAAAGTGTTCGCGTTGAGAGGTGCAACCTGGGCCAAATACGTGATAAGTGCCGGAGCCTTGTGTGGACTTATCACGTCCATGCTGGGGTGCCAGGTGGCATTATCCAGAATGATGTACGCTATGGCAAGCGACGGGCTCATATTCAAGTAAGAATTGGTAGTGATAGAAGTTCCCTTTTTTCACTGATCTTGAATGGCCGAGGGATGCAAAACTGAACGAAATCAAACTACTCTTTCAATTTCTTATAGCTTCTCTACTCTCTCAGCATTTCCTTTTCATGTACAAACATCTTACTGCGTTCCGGTGCATTTTCTCGATTTTAGTTTGGAAGAAAAAGCCGAATCACACATTCGTGTAAGCTTGCTTCTACATGTTTTTGGCCGTGGCTTCCAATGCTTCATAGTTTTGCTGTTCCCTGATTGTTCACGAGACCTGGCAATTGGAATCAAAAGATATAAACACAAAAGAATTTGATGGGAAGCTGGAGAACAATGGAGCATCGTATGTCCTGTTGATTTTTTGCGTGAGTGGCTGTCTTATTCCCACTTACTTTCCTTTTCCTACCCATCTTTCTCCTCTTTTTTTTTTTTTTCCAAATTCATGCAAGCAAACAGCTGCATTTTACAACGGGATAAACAAGCGTGTAGTCAGGAATGGGAGGGGGGAGCACCCTCGGCTTACGAAATGTGTTCAGTAAACCAATGAGTGTTTTTTTTTTTTTTTCAGATTTCTCGGGAAGGTGAATCCAAGAACAGAAGTCCCACAAAACGCAACCATAATAGCTACCGTGTTTTGTTCCCTTTTGGCTGTTATCTTTGACATACACGAGTTCGCGGAAATGCTGTCGATTGGAACACTCCTGGCCTATACTCTTGTCGCTTTGTGCGTGCTGGTTTTGCGATATCAGCCAGAAGTCGTTGGCCTTACCAAGGAATCAGGCGTGAGAGACGAAACCACAGGAGAAGAATCACCTTTGATTACAGAAATTAACGGATCCCAACCTACCCAGAACACCAAAACCACAGCACGTGTTGCTATTGGTGCTAGCACTTTTGCTTGCATAACTCTCACTGCATTCCTAAGGTTTGGTTCAACCGCCTTAGGAGACGCCCAGTGGTGGGCCGTAATACTAATGATCCTTATAGGATTTACACTTCTTGGCACAACAGTTTATCTCATGAAGCTGCCCCAGAATAGTACCCCTCTGGCTTTCAAAGTGCCATGTGTTCCCGTGATTCCTTTGTTGTCGATATTTGTCAACCTGATGTTGATCTCGGAGCTCTCCTACCTGACATGGATTAGATTCGTTGTTTGGTTGGCAATTGGTAAGTTTACAACTTAGTTTGTGATAAAATATGACTAAACAATTGAATTATTCGACAAATACTTCTAACAACCTTCCTCACTTCAAGATGTCATCAACATGTAAATTCTCACTACATTACTACTTTCTCCAGTAATCGGGCGATGATAAGAAAGGAACTTTTAAACCTAAAAGAGCTGTCTCGGCATAAAATCAAATTTTCCTGGCAAATTTAAAAGGAAGCGTAGGGCACTTTGAGAGGTGGATGAATCAATCGAAACATGGGAGCTAAGAACTTAAGCTGAACTTAAGATATCCTGTTTTGTATAGGTTTGATCATCTATTTGTCTTACGGAGTTCGACACAGTGTGGAGGGCGAACGGGATGGCCAAGACAGGCCTGACCTCAAGAATACCGAACCTGAAATTTGCCTCCAGAAATCACAGGATTACTCCAAGCCAGACATGGAATGAAGTCAAGGCATAGAGTAAATATTTTACAAATTTGCACAAGAGTAGGAAATTTACAGTAATCCAAACTACATTAAACAGCAGAAGAAACTGCAGACAATTGATCAAAACTAGGAGAAATTTTTTAGCGACTGCTTTTTCCATTTTAATTTTTTTTTTTAAATTAAAGCTTCCTCCGTCCAGAAAAAACGGATTTTGAGATATCAATTTAGATCTTTTTCGTTAGGGTGGGGAGGGTGGGGTAACAGTCACCGCAAGGGGTAAGGGGTGAAAGTTGTTCAAGGTAATAGACAACAGTCAAGTTCGTCATTCCTTTCGTCTCTTAATTTTATTAGTGGCTAAGAAAACTTCAGAATTAACAAAAATGTAAACAGTTACTGCTCATTATATGGGAGGCGCTTAAATATGTACGCATTATTTTCAACGAAAAAAGCTATCGACCCATCAGTGGTGAGCTTCTCTCTGTTGAAGTTTAACCTCATGTGCACGTATGTTCGGGTGTGTGTATACGTGTAGATTTATTACCGATACTGAAGAATGAAAAGACACTTTCAGACAATTTTATATTTCTTTTAATGTGATCGCTCTTTATGCAAGGCTATCTATTAAAGTATTGAATTGGTTCGTTTCAATACTGGTTAAATGAATTTGTTACTACCTGTTTCGTCTTCAAAAGATCCAATTTTATTATGCAAAGAGAGCGCAAACTGGGTGCAAATCTATCTCTTTAAGCGATGTAGACTCACAAGCGGTCGAAGGAAGTTTTGACCTCTATCACAAGTTTGTCATATTCGATTAGGAGGTTGCAAATAATGCAGTGGTCCTGTAATATCATTCGCTGATTCCTTTCGTGGAACTCCCCACTAATTGATCAATCAATTCAGTTATGGGTGGGGCCTACATCAATCAATTACTTTAACTTTACAGCGCGCTCAAGAGATCTGTCGAGAAGATCAAGCTAGGTATTTGGAATAAAAGGCTGAAACCCAGATACATCAAAGCTATACTGAAACAGAGACAGCCTGGGTCCTCTAAAAAAAATTTGTTGCTCAGGCAGGTAGCCACTTGATAATGTGTTCCCACCCTGATAATACTGATAAACCACTACCAGCTTTACTCTGCTCAATTTAGTCGGATCTTCATTTAGTATAAACCTGAAAAGTTTTACAAATTCAGCAGGCTTGAGCGACCGCGAAAAATTACCCTCAAAGATTACTTTAAACTCACCCATACATGCAAAGTTAGCATCTGTTAAATTAGTAATATTTTCTTCTTCACTGCTCGAAACTCCCTCCCAAGGTTGTTTTAATGCAACCATCCTCACAGGCAGTCAATTGTTATAATCCCACCCTTCATAATTTATTGGTGACGACTGGTTCCCCTTCCGTTTCCCTTGAAAACCATGTGATCCCCCCCAAAAAAAAATCCTATACACCCCACTCCAGGCGATAAATGATGACTGGTCCCTAGGAAAGACCTCTCTTAGTTTTCTGTAGGTGACAGAAAAATCTCAACTCATCAGTGGCTTATGTTGTAGATTCGCGCAGATATTAACTTCTTATTAACCGAACGCGAGAGCAGCACTGAGGAATATTGGCCTGAGGTCCGTAGAAAACGAGCAAGGGCCAAAATTCCTCAGTACGGCTACAGCAAGCGAGGTTAATAACAAGTTGATTATATGGCACCTGGACCAAACTTGATTATTTTGAATTGCGGCTTTCGCGAATAAAAGTACATGGCTAATGACTGCTCCCGTGGAAACGGCTCGTGTGGAAAAATCCCCATCAAGTAAGAACCAATTAGAACGCTCGGATTTACCTCAGGACTGCCTTTGCATAAAAAATAAGGGATAATTTTACAAAAGCAACTGAGCACTCTAGAAGTGCCTTACACCAACCCGTAACACACGTTGACACAATAGTGACGGAAACAATACATTTTATTCAGATACAGCCATATATACTTCAAGTTCACCTGCAAAGATCCCGAACATTGTTCCATCGTGGAAAGTAGTTCATGGGGTAGATCGTGGGTGGAATCGGAGTCATGAATCGTGAATCATACTTATAGTTGAATTAGAGGGAGCCGAGAAGTTTTTTGTGCTAAAAACCTGGGAATCATGCATTATGAGATAGAGTGAAAGAAAAAAGAATCATGACTATCTAAAAAAGATTTTTAATGAATCATGAACTGTTCGGCTGAAAAATGCAGCAATCGTTAATCCCGAAAGTCAAATGCTTCCGCTTCCATTCTTTAAAGTAGGCTCTAGTAATTAGTGGTACTTACATCTTGGGACCTGGGAGATGAACAAAGGAGATGATAAAGCAGTGAATGTATTCCATAATAGGTGCCAACCAAGGATCCTCCGAATCCGATGTCAAGACCATGTCAGCACCAAAGAGCTACTGGAAAGGGCAGGCATGAAGCCACTGAGTGCGGAAGTGATGTCTCGTAGATGGAAAATGATTGGTCATATTCTTAGGAAAGATCGTAATAATGATTGCAATGTTGCTATGAGCTGAGCGCCAGAAGGTAAAAGGAGAAGGGGAAGACCAAAAACTACTTGGAGATGTACAGTAGAGAAAGAAAGGCAAGAGGCAGGTTGGAGGTCGTGGGAGGATGTGCGGACAGCAGCAACCAATCGAGAGGAGTGGAAAAGCTCTGTGAAGGCCCTATGTGCCACAAGGCATGAAAAGGATTGATGATGATGACATCTTGGGACACCTAATTCAAGGTACACAGAGGTTACTACCGAGGGAAAAAATCTTTCCATCAAGGGAAAGTACAACTTTCTCGGTCTCAAGAATATCCCTCACTGAATATTTCACAAGTATGTATTATTCTGTTAAAAGTAGTACTCCGCAGTTTCCTTTCCAGCGATCATTTGGTCTGGTCGAAGCAAGGCACTATCTCCTTTGCGTGACGGTCCTTTGCGTGCACTATCTCCTTTGCGTGACGGGTCAAAACCACGATTGCGGAGGAGGAGACTTTGTTATCCTGTTCCAGACGGTTCGGTTCATAAACGAAGCGCGATAACAAATGAGGCGATAGTAGTGGCTGAGCGAAAAAAAAAAAAACAGGGAGGTTTGGGTCGGTTACGATCCGACCCAGCCAGCTTCCTTTTCTTTTGTTTCGCTTTTGCTACACTAGCGCCGTTTGTTTATTTCGTTCCGTTATACTAACTCAACGCCTAAAGCGGGCTAAAGGTTGTTGGGATTTTTTTGTAACTTACTGGTTTACATTTGACCAAATGCAGGTAATTGGCGCCTGGATTTGAAAATAGGTGAGAAAATGGCATCGAGGGTGTGAGTTTTGTCAACCAAAATTAAGATCGAAGTATAAACAAACCAACATTCTGTCAATTCACAATTTCATGAATTGAGCTGAAGAGTATTCGAAATAAAACATTACCTGCGATTTAGAAAGTTATACAAACAGCACAGCATCAACCTCTGATTTATTTCAAAAGTCTGGCGGTATCCTTTTACTTCAGACAGTTGTCCCTAAATTTCAAGGGCGTTTAGATTGAACAATCTCTGTCTGCAATTAGTTAGTGACCCTACTTCGCTAAATCAAAATAAATTTTATGAAGAAGCATAACAAGATACTTTTACAGTTTAGAGTCAGCTTTCCATAAATAAAATCTAGTTTATTGGTTAAACAGAAAATTTCGGTGTTCGAAAGTTCTGACTCACATTGTCTGTTGGGTGGATTGTGCTGTCCACCAGATATTAAGTCACCTTGTAAACAAAGGATTTTGCTACAAAGACACTACTATTTGCTAATTATCTGGCTCCATTGAACAAATCTCTATCCCGTAGATAGCGTGGTATGTTATCCTACACTTTTCCGCTGGATAGCAATTTATCCGTTGGGGGACGTTATCTGCCCTTTAAACAACTGGGCCCTGGTCAGTAACTTTATCCCGCGTTCGAACAGATTGAATCAGGAGAAACCGAAAGAATTGCTAAGCGTAAAATGAGATGATTTGTAAATATTTTAAAGGCGCTGAATTCTCATTTTTCTAAATCGAAACTCACGAATGACAATTGAAACTAAAGCGACTTAAATTAGTTTTAAGAACTAACAGAACTTGTGATTGATGTGCCATTCTTTCAACAACAATAAAATAATAATAACTTTCCGTATAATTTGAAATCCAACACACATTTTTGCCGCGTCAATAAGTTACCCATCTTGGAGAATCTTTCAATCATATCTTTTCATAACCAATGGATCGGAAGAGACAAATGGCGAACACAACACCGAGAATCTATGGGGAAGAAAAAAAAGTTCCGTAAGAGAATCGATTATACTGGAAAGAAATACAAGATAATGAAATTGTGAAAGTTAGAAAATTTAAGGTAGCTTTGAACCACTGCTGGCCGAAAGTCGTAAATGATATACTACGGGCAATAAAAGTAAAATTCAAAAGCTTTTTCCCCAGATTTTAAAAAAACTTTGAAAACATCGAACATTTTTTTTAGAACGTAGGAAAACATGCGAGTCTACCGTGGGTTGGATGCTCTTCAAATTTAGAGTCTTTTTTAGAGTCGTTTAGATTTAGAGTCGTTTTACTGAGTGATCTTTATTGACCTAGGTTCACATAAATCAACGTGTTTCACTCATCTATCGCACTAGAGGCTCTGTGAACTATCTCGAATCTCTGGAGCAAGGCTTTGAAATAAACTTAAAGATCATAACAACTCTACCTGCAAAATGGCGATTCCAACACCTATTCCACCAACCACGGCCATCTTACTTTTGACAAAATCTTGAAGTGCTTGGGAGCAACCCTTGAAAAAGACAAATTTGTTAGAGAGTTTGGTGCTAAACAAAGTGATGAATTTGAATAACGTCTAGTTTGTACCAAGACCCTTTACTCGTTGATTGGCGAGAAATTTGTGTTCAAGGTGGATTGAGGCAAACTTCATGAAAAGTATTTTTGTTTCACACTCTTAGCTGTTAATAATAATAATAATAGTAATAATAATAATAATAATATTAATAATAATAATAATAACGGTTTGTTGCAGTTTATCTACAGAGTAGCTATGCTCTGCATAAAAGATAAAAAAGATAAAAGTAACTAACTAAATATAAACCAAAATTAAAAACAAATAAATCAACCCGATAAAATTTATGTACAATAAGTATATTCTAGTCCCTAATCACTGCTAATGCGAATCGAAGCTTTAGTTCTTAAAATGCGAGAGCATTCTCTCTTGAATGTATCAAAATCTGAACAAAGTCTTAAATGTGCAGGCA